CTTGAACATGACAATGAGTTCACTGTACTCAAATGGCCTCCACAGTCACCAGATCTGAATCCAATACTGTGTGATGCCATCATGTCAATATGGACCAAACTCCCTGAGGAATGCTTCCAGCACCTTGTTGAATCTATGCCACGAAGAATTGAGGCAGTTCTGAAGGCAAAAGGGGGTCCAACCCGCTACTAGCATGGGGTACCTAATAAAGTGGCCGGTGAGTGTATATCTGAATTGTCATGAGTTTCCATCTATTCAATTTCAGTTTATTTTTAATTCACAACACAGTTCACCAGATCATACAGTTAAATTGATTCAAAAGTTTTCTATCTAAGGAAAACCAGTTGGTTTTGACTCTTCAGCAATCCCTCACACTAAGCATGCTTGTAGCGACAGTGGAGAGGAAAAACTCCCATTTAACAGGAAGAAACCTCCAGCAGAACCAGGCTCAGTGTGAGCGGCCATCTGCTGAGGCCGGCTGGGAGACAGAAGCAGACATAGAAAAAAGAAGCAGAGATGCAACTCCATGCTAATAAAATGTTTATAAAAATGCATAAAAAATCATTGTCATTTCTGCAGAAACCCTGTTGCACTAAGAGCCCCATGCCTTGATACCCCTAAATATAATTAATTTCCTCAGAAAGTCAAGTGAAGAGTGACTAGCCGATATGTACTAGTCTCTATGACTAAATATGATCTGTGTGTGTGTGTGTGTGTGTGTGTGTGTGTGTGTGTGTGTGTGTGTGTGTGTGTGTGTGTGTGTGTGTGTGCGCAGTCTTCAGCGTGGACTACAATGACGAACTGGATGTCCTGGTCAGCGGTTCTGCAGATTTCTCCGTAAAGATCTGGTCGCTGTCTGCTGGTGGCTGTCTCAACACTCTCACTGGACACACTGAATGGGTCACTAAGGTGAGCTCAGCATGCCGAGGCATCATTGAATGATGTTGGTAACTTTACCCTTTACCGTTTGTTCTTCTTCTGCTGTTTTCTCCCTACAGGTGATATTGCAGAGGAGTGAGGTAGAATCGATGGTGCACAGTCCCGGGGATTATATCCTGTTAAGTGCTGATAAGTATGAAATCAAGGTAAAATGTGCTTCATATGTTTGTTTAAAAAAAAGCAGAAAGAGTCCCTCTGATCTGCTCCACAGAATGAGACCAAGCTCTGCTTTCATCCTGCAGGTTTGGCCTTTAGGCAGAGAAATCAACTGTAAGTGTTTGAAAACGCTGTCAGTATCAGAAGACCGCAGCATCAGCCTTCAGCCTCGCCTGCAGTTTGATGGACGCTACATCGTCTGCAGCTCTGACCTTGGCGTTTATCAGTGGGACTTTGCCAGTTTTGAAATTATTAGGTAAAGTGGTCATAAAAACACATTCAGTTTACAGACCGGAACAAATACTCTAAACCATCGATACATGTTGCAGAGTCATGGTGTGACACAGCAGCCATTGCTTTGCGTCAAATGAGGACTGCTTTAGTAGCAGCAGCTTCAGAACTAGGGCTGGGCAATTACTTACATTTGCAACATAATCGCAGTTTAGAAAGATGCTATTTTCAAATCAGAGGCACTTTCTTTTTAATCACTTTAATCACGACAATTTGATAAGAGTAAAACACTAAATTTCTCCTTCCAGCCCTTTGGGTGGCAGTGATAGGGTTAAATGTGGTCTCTGACTCCAGGAAATGGTGTCATGATTGATGACCAGCTGACCTTTAAACATCATGTTACCTCCGTTTATCAATCTTCTTGCTTCACACTTCTAAACATCACAGCATCCGATGTTCTGTCAGATGAGCATACCCGGTCAGACCAGCATACCCATTAGTCAATACCCGTTAATCACTTTAGTTTTGTATGAAAAATAAACTTAAAGCTGCCTCAACAAGCGTGTATCCCTTTAGTCATGTACAAAAAAACTATTTAATTACTTTTTATGTGTTTTTTGAAGCGTATGGCGATCTAACCTTAAATTGTTTGTTTATTTTGTACATGACCAAAAGGATACATGTTGGGCACGTTACTTTGAAAAAGAAATTAGTTATAGTTACTACTTACTTCTCCTAAAAAGTACTGAGTTACTAAATTACTGCACAATAAAAGTAACTAGTTACTAGTAAAAGTAACTATTGCATTACTTTTGAGTTTCTCGCCCCGTAACCCTTACCACCCAGCCCCACCTTCTCGCCGTGTGTTTCCAAAGCCAGCTGAATAGAGCGGACGACAAAGACAAGAACCTGCAGAGTTTAGCATTTATTGCAACTCAACGTAAATGACATCAGGGGGGAACGCTATCTGACGGGCCTAGAAACCCCATCTGATAGCGTTCCCCTGCTTAACATGGGGGGGACACTATCCGATGCGGTGTAAATATCATCAGGCTGCATTACCTCTACTCATGGGTGTAAAGTTTTTTAACATGGCGTTCAGATCTGGTGAGTGTATGAGATTAATAACTGGGGATGTCTAATTCTGAAATCCTGTGTGTTTGGGTTGTTATAGATACAAGGCAGAAAGGCGCGCACGAGTCCTACCATGAAAAAATGGTTAATTGTGCGACCTGAGTAACGTCCAATAACGGGGTGTCGGCAATGGTAACTGCGTTATAGTTACAGTCAAAGTAATTAGTTAGATTACTCGTTACTAAAAAAAGGTAACAGCGTTGAAGGTAACGCCGTTACTTTCAACGTCGTTACTCCCATCACTGCACACAAGGTAGTCTATTTTTTGTACAAAACTAAATTAAACGCAAATCTGACGTCTTAGTCATGCATATTCACTAAGTGTATGCTGGTCTGACAGAACACCGCCGCAATTAAGGAAGACGGTTGCAGCTGGTGCCTTGATTGATGCATTATAGTAGAGATGGTAAATGGAAGTAAGAAGTTTTACAGTGAAGTCCTGCAATACTGAACTCTGGACAAGAAGGCTTTCAAGGTCATGAAAAAACTGAAACCTTGGAGTAAAACATCAACAGGGTTGTTCTTAGTACAAAGGACTATCGCAAAGAAATCACAACATTGGTTGAAAATAATCGCAATTTAGATTTTTGGCAAAATCGTTCAGCCCAATTAAAAATTAAACAAAATGAGCTCTTTTTAAAGGTCAATAAGCTTTTATTTTACTAGAATGATGCGGTGGTTCTCAGTCCTCCAGGTACTGCTGCACTGCGGGTTTCAGATTTCTCCTCACTGCCACAAACCTGACTTATATGAGATAATGAGAAACGGGCTTCTGCAGCACGTGATGTGCAAAATGTTTTTTTTTGTTTTGTTTTTTTCTACATAATTACTGCTGTAAGTGGGTGGTTCTGTCAGCTAAAGGAATGTTTTATAATCTCTTTTCTTAGCGATTAAGCGATTATTGATTTAGTTGACAGTTAATTCAATAACTGATTAATCTAGGGCTAAATAGGGATAATATTAGGTCTAAAACAATCAGATTAATTGCGATTAATTAATTACTTTTCGCAATTGATTAATCGCTAACTGGAGTTTAGAGACTCTAAACTATGCTTTTAGCTGACAAAGCGACCCACTTAGAGCAGTACATATATCAAAATAAAAAAAAAAAAAAAAAAAATATATATATATATATATATATATATATATATATATATATAAATATTTTGCATTTTAAATAAAAAGAAAATGTTTTATTCTGTCAATATGCTCTATCCAGAACTCCTCAGAGGAAAAGTTTGAGTTTGATTTAGTAAGAAATCTTCTTTGAGGAACCTTTTACTAGTCAATTATAATTGAAAAAATAATCGACATATTAATAATCGTTCTCTCTGGCCCTAGATTAGTCACAATTAATCTGATTCATTGTTTCAGCTCTAGTTCAGAGAGAGAGTTGATTTTTTTCCATATATCTTAACATCAGCAATCTTCTTAGTTTTGATTTGAACCTTTTTTTAACAGAATCAAAGAAAGAAATAAGGTAGCAACCTTTTTGTAACATACATGCTTATCCTGCATCATCAGTCTAGTGCCGCTAATGTCTAATCTAGTCAAATATATCAACAATATCTCGATGTTTCCAACAGATCTNCCTTATAATCTGCAAAGCCATTGTAAAATTGCTTCAGCAGTCTCCATTTTTGCATGGCAGAACCAGAAGAATCTTTATATCTGTGACAAATGAACAATGACACATCGACGTATTTTTCTTCCTATACTATTGATTTTTGCTGCGAAGTAGACAGTCTAATTCTCTGTGTATTGGCGCTTTTTAAACAACCGAATGATGCATTACCAACACCACATGGTCGAAAGCTGCACGCAGTCCCACGGCCCTTGCGGCCCACAGGTGCAAAACTGAAAGATTTTTGCGGCCCAAAAGGGGACTTTTTTGGTTAAGAAACACTGAGCTAAAGGCATGTTTTAGAATCTCTTTTCTCCAGTTAGCGATTAATCGATTATTAAATTAGTTGACGGTTTGTTCAATAACTGATTAATCTAGGGCTAAATAGGTCTGAAACAGTCAGATTAATTAAATATTTAAATAATTGTCAACTACTTTTCGCAATTGATTAATCGCTAACTGGAGTTTAGAGACTCTAAACTATGCTTTTAGCTGACAGAGCGACCCACTTAGAGCAGTAATTATATCAAAATTAAAATATATATATAAACATTTTGCATTTTAAATAAAAAGAAAATGTTTTCTTCTGTCAATATGCTTTATCCAGAACTCCTCAGAGGAAAAGTTTTAGTTTGATCTGGTTTGATTTAGTAAGAAATCTTCTTTGAGGAACCTTTTACTATCCAATTATTCGAAAACATCAGCAATTTTCTTCGCTTTAATTTGAACCTTTTTTAACAAAATCAAAAAAAGAAATAAGGTAGGTACAACCTTTTTGTAACATATACATGCTTATCCTGCATCATCGATCTAGTGCTGCTAATGTCTAATCTAGTCAAATATATCAACAACATCTCGATGTTTCCAACAGATCTGTTTTTTGTGTGAATGGGAAAGATTAGGAAGAAGATGTAGTGATGCTCTGAACCTAAAGCGTTCTGTTTTCCTTTTCTCAGAGTAATAAAAATGGAGGACCCAGCCAACCTGTCCCTGCTAAGCTTTGGTGAGGTGTTTGCGCTTCTTTTCGATAACCACTTCCTGTATGTCATGGACCTGAGGACAGAGTCGATCTCGGGCCGCTGGCCTCTACCGGCTTACAGGAAATCAAAGCGAGGATCCAGCTTCCTGGCAGGCGTGACCTCCTGGTTGAACGGCCTGGATGGGGGCAATGACTCTGGACTGGTGTTTGCCACCAGCATGCCTGATCATAGCATTCACTTAGTTCTATGGAAGGAGAACGGCTAGTCAACCAGTGATGTCACACGTTGGACTGTTGGCCTGTGAGCCTCTTTAATAATCATAACTGCCAAAAACCTCCTTCATGGAACAAAGCATGTTGTCTTCTCCCCGTTTCTTCCTCATGATTCAAGTCCTCCTCTAGATCCTTACATGAATATTAACCCATGGATCCTTCATACAAGCTAAGAACTGAAAGGAATTTGTCACTTTTGTGCTAAAAATGGATCAGCGCCTGTTTGGAAGAACTTCCATGAAGCCAAAATGACGAAGATAAAAGAAACAGTAGTAACCAAAATAACATCACTATCTTTTGTAATATATGTAAATGTTTAAAAGTACATGGTTATTGCAGTTTGCTCTTTAAATAGTCGGCGTTATGCCAGCGAGGAAGATCTGTAGCTGACTTTGGATGTCAGTCGCTTGTGTTCTGTCAGATGAGCATACCTTTAGTTTATCCCTTTAGTTTTTTTTACGAAAATACTCTTTAAACTGCCTCAACGGTTGTCTTTCCATTTAGTCATGAACAAAAAAACTATATAATTACTTCTTTTTTGATGTTTTTTTAAGCGTATGGCGATCTCAAAGGGATAAACGCCTGTCGAGGTAGCTTAAAGTACATTTTTTTGTACAAAACTAAAGGGAAAAATGCAAATGTGACGTTTTGCGCATGTGTATTTACTGGTCTGAAGGGTATGCTAATCTGACAGAACACCGGGCTGACGCCATCACGATATCTTTGAACACGAGCAGGGGTGCCTTAAACTCACTTGCATCAAAGGGGAAATGATTTGCTTCCAGACTGCGTTGCGTGATGACAGGAGAGGAGTGGTTCGGTATTGCGTTTCTAAACACCGTTTATCGTTAAGGATATCCAGTTTAAATGTCAGCTTGATAAATGTGATGTGCCTTTTGGTTCTTTCCAGTTAGCTCCAGCAGACTGCAGTTAGGCAACGACTTTTTGTTTCTTTTCACATATTCAGACAGACTTAGATGCCTGTTCATTTAAAGCTATATTCTGGATATTTGTTCAATCAAAAACTGTTTTTCTGAACCACGATGTTGAACTTCCTTCTTATGAAAAGCCACAGAAAAATAAGACGGAGATGAAAGAATTTGGTGGGGTCAAACTTTTTTTATTTTTTTATATTTTTATGAATCTAAAACACCAGAGTTCGTTTACGGTAATCTGACTTTATATTTACCTTGTCCTCCTCAGCAGAGAAGTTAAATCAGGTTTATTAAAACATCAATGTGACCTGTATGTATGATAAGACTAAAGGAAAAAAAAGAAAAGCCAGAACAGCTCTAGGTTTCTAAGTTTACATCTGAGTACATAGTGTTTATCATCACAAAGGTTTCTGCCACACAATGACAGCTTGAGTCACCTTAATCTACTTCATTCTTCTTAATAAAAACAAAAATGGTTATAAATGTGTCGTATGTTGTCTCTTTGTTTTTTCTGTGCCCACCATCACATTATCAGCATTACCATTAGGCAATACTAGGCAGATCCATAAAACTCTGTTTACATGTATGGTAAATACAAATATTCCTTATTTGTGCACATTGATTATGTTTTTGATAAAAATCCTTTCACTAAAAATGCCCCCCCCCTTCAGTGTCCACCATATTGGATCAGTCCATTTGCTGCACATGTTCAGAAAGGTCCAACCAGACAGCAGCAAACCATTTGAAAACAAACCATGAAAAGAGCAGTTGAGTGAAATTATAGCTTTNTTTTTTTAGCAGATGTGTTGACCGGTGTTGTTGGACCTGTCACTACAGTTACCATAGAGGAAGAAAGCTTTCCTTCTCTTCTTTATGGTCCTGAGCTCCGCCCCTTTATAGGTCACCTTTATCTCCTTTAAATTAGCCTCCGGCACTATTTGTTATTTTACTAACTTGATATTTATACATAAAATATCCTGACTTTCACACCTTAGACATTAAAATAGGAAATCCAAAGCAAATGCATAAAAGGTTTAACATTAAAAAGTTTAAAGGAGCAGTATTGAAAGTTTCTGCCGACCAGCATCAAGTTAAAGATTTTCATTAATCCCATTTTAGCTTCTCTAGATCTCGATGTAGAGAAAAGATGCAGGCGGAGTGTACTTATTTGCCATACTGTCAAAAAAAAGTAAAATAAAAGGAATTTAGCAAAAATAACTGACTTTTTTACATCCAATAAAATGATTTGAGGACCAGAATGTTCACATTTTGGACAAAGAAAACAGGTGGTGGGAGGGGCTTGAGGGAAACCATCTATGTCACGAAAGGAAACCAACCTTAAACAGGGGGGGGGACTCAGATTTCAGCTTTCAAAAACCTACAACACAGCAATTGAGTTGATTCCTTCCCACTATCATCAATCAACCCCACCTATTCATCCAGGCCAACAATTCCCTTTAATGACCCCCCTTTCAGAGACATAGACAGGTATGGAGTATTGCAGGCTAACAAAGAAGCTAAACGACCCCCATTCTAAAGGGGTGGACCCGTTCATCCGTTTCTATTTGCATGTTTTCTAAACAAAAACAAGGCTTTGTTGGGCTGCTGGATAAAACCTGGAACTAAACGCTATTTCTGACATTTGGAATTGAAAAAGCTTCCTGGATGGAAGAGAAACATCTTAAAACTTGGGGGAAAAAAGTCCAGTGGATTGTTTTTTAACTTTTTTGGAATGGAGTTAGGAAAGTTTCCTCACCAATGACTGAGTTCACATTCTTGGATGTGTTTTTCCCAAAAGCACAGATGCAGGCACACTCAGCAGGCACTGTGAAGCTGGCCAGGGACCACTGGCTATCCACATACTGACCAATAACAGGGCCCACCTTCCCGACACGAGCCAGACTGCAGGAAGAAAAATGGTTACTGTGACAGCAAGTGGGTGCAGAAGAACGACGCGAGCAAGAGGCGGCCTTACGCTGAGCGCCTGTTGAGTTTGGTGTCCTTCAGAGCGAAGATGTGGACGGTGCCTTTGTCGCTGGACGCACACAGGAAGGACGAGTCGTGGCTGAAGTTGATGCTGGAAGAAAGAAACAACATAAGGGCCAGTTTGGCACAAGCAGCTCCTTTAAAATCATTTTAGTATTGATCAAATATTTCACATGTTGGATAATCAATCAATTATAAATATGACTTTAGAACTTTTTCACTAATTGCTACAAAAGCTAAACTTCTTTTTTCAATTCCTAAGATTTATTATCAGAGGTGTCAAGTAAAAAAGTACAATTACTTTGTTAGCTTAGTTAATTAGAAATTTTGGCTGTCTATACTTTCCTGGACTCATTATTTATTTTTTTGTAACTTTTTACTTCTACTCCTTATATTTTTTTGGAATTATCTCTACTTTTTCCTCCTTAAATTTTAAGGCGGCTCCTGCGGGGAGCAGCGATGCGTCCGGAAGCACCTGGGCTACAATAAAAGATGTCCTGATTCACCGCCCGCCCCCCAAAAAAACGAATAAATAAAAAGAAAATGAAAGAAAGAAGGTTTG